TTGTTGTTTAGTCGTTGTATCTTAGTTATTGTTTCATCTATCATATTAGTTTATTGTACTCAACAGTCATTCATGGATAAGTTTTTGAACATTTGATGATCAAAACAAATTATTAATTGCATCCATGACGAATTCATAGCATATGTCATCCCTTTTAAGAGATTACAGTCACCATTCATAAATCTTTTGAGGATCCCTAGTGCTTTATCCTTTACTTTTTGTTCAATGGAGGAGTTTTTGCATCTCTTTAAGTTGGATTCTATTCTATTAACTTTGTACTTGACAAAGGCAAAACTGTGATTGGTGTTATAGCACTAGCATGAAGGGGTGTATGATGTGTCAATTTCTTAAAACGAGTGGTAAATAATTGTGGAAGTATGTACATCGCGGTATGCATATAATAAATGATGAGATGCCCTGTGACTTTGACATATATATTATTTGAGTGACTACTTTCCATTATCATTTTCTTGTACACATGAAAACAAAAGCATTGGTTATCATTTTGCCCAAAATGGGACGAACATGCCCCACCAGTCAGTTTTAGTGATTGTTTAAAGAAGATAATATGTTGAATGGAATGCCCTTTTACTCGTTCATATTCCAAAGAAGAAGAAATGCAAGAACATGCTATAATTTGACGAAAGTAACGTTGCACTGACATGAATGGGGTTAGGGTGGGGGGGGGGGGGGGGGTTGGAGGACCATGAGTTTTAACCCTGATAATTCACATTGGAACATTAACATCCAAGTGAAAGTTGTAGACAATTCAATGCAGTGTACCTATAATCCCATCTATCACCATTTATACGGTCTTCTAGAGAAGTATGAGTTGGATTCACAACTACGCCCCCACTCTGTGGCACCATCGACATGTTTTGGTATACGATGACAGTACAATATTAACTTGGAAGTCCCATTAAAGAGCATTTTCATATGGTAAAACCTCTTCATGGAGTATGAGATTTTCACGAGGTTGATCTTGAGCTGCCATCCAAGCACAAATATCTTAGTTTAATGGAATATTTTTTGGTTAGAAAGTCTCGTATTCAAGATCTTTGCTATGCGAATTTCTTGAGAGATGAAGTCATAGGCGCGCGGCTTCAGGTCAAACCAACTACATGTAAATCTTGTCGAAATTACACTATTTAGTACAATCTAATAGAGTATAAATATTGGGTAGAATTGTTCTCTACCAATCCTCTTAAACACATGCAGATGGAGCTGTCAGGAGGGAAATTTATGCAGATGGCACTAACTTATTGCTCCATAATTTCAAATAGTGCTCTTTCTGTCAAATTAGACTGATGTGTAAACAAAAAAATGGATTGCTCAAATAATTTCTTAGCCCTAAATCCAACTAGCTATTATTTGTGTCAAAAGTCCAAAAAGTTTTAGAAAGCCACTCCCTTGAAGGTAAGGATAGTAATTTAACCCAAAAAACTCAAAGAGTCCCGTGGTGCCATGCCCCGAGGGGTGAAAAACCCCCCTCGGGATTACCATCGAAAATAGTTTGGAGACTAACTTGTTATGTTGCAATTAAGTTTGTGGATTTTGCAGCAGTGTTGACGAAAATAAGGTATGAAACTTCTTGTGATGCCCTATTGACGACTGTATCATATTGCCTTGATTTGAGATTATTATCCTCTTACTTATATTTTGATACCTCACTACATGTCATACGAACATCATTACAAAGGTGAGTTGCTTGTAGTATATGGTATTTATATGACAATTTATTATTTTATATTTTGAGCTAGGGATCCAAGATTTAATTTTTGATTCTTATAGGAGGAAGTGGACATAATCCCTTTTGGCAATTTTTTGGACTTTTGTACTCAACATGTATTTATGACATAAAAATAATAATTTGAGAATTTCTTTCTTTGGTTTTGGTTATCATTCATTATGTTTATTTTAATTAATCCTTATTATGGTTTTTTTTTTGGTACAATTAATATAGTAAAAGAATATTTTACAAAATTATATATTTTTATATTCTTTTCTTCAATGAAGTTTTCTCTCATGAAAGAAAAATTACCAGCAATCAATACCAATAAATTGCTCATGCATTCTTGACATTTATAAGTTTCAAAATTACCTCAACTTAAAATGAATGAGAAATTGATTTTTAGCCACAAAATTGATTTTTATTCATTAAACAAAAATGATTAATTAGAAGATAGCAACTAAGAATATTTATTTGTTTTTACAATGCTGAATAGTCAAATGAAGAATTTAATATATTTTTAAGTATGTTATTTAACTTTCTAAAACTAATTTACAATGATTGATTTTAAAGTTTAGGAAAAAAGATGATAAATTTATAATTCTCACACAAATTTTTTTAATAAAGAAAAATTATTTAATGAAAAATCAATAACTAAAAAATTGTATGCAAAAACGTTACATAAATTAATATACAAAGTGAGATTGTTATTATATAAAATACAATGTATAAAATGGAAGCTTGCAAAATACGATTGTAAATAGTAATTACACTCTGTATACAAGATGCATTTTGTAGAGAGTATGAAGTTCACCTTATAAGTCTTTTTCGTGTGAACGAAGGCAATGACGAAAGAGAAGAGAAAACCTAGAAAACTACACACGAGCAAATTCACGTAAATTCGATAATTCGATTGATTAGTGTTTGAACCCTAATTTGTGCAACGATCATGAATATGAACAACTCTTTGACTAGAATGATGATTTTAATAAAGGTCAAAAAGGGTATTTGAAAAAGATTAAAAAAAATTGTGCAAATTGTCTTTCCCCTTAGATATTGGTTGTAAATTTTGTAACAAAAAGTGCCACATAAAGACAATGGATGTGACATTATTTGTGGATCCCACATGAATAGAAGGTCAATAATTTCAGATAAATGTATCATGATGTTTCTTTTTTCTTTCCATAAATGTACTCTATGGTCACTAGATGCCACATGCTAGTCGCCTTCAATTTTATCACAACTTCAATACATTAAAATCAACTAATTAAAGTTGGGTAAAAATACAACCCTTTAACCAAACTCCATTATTTATTGTTGAGAAGATTTAATTTTATTGAGTTTTGATTATCGATAAAGATTACAAAACTTACGTGTTCTTTTATATGGTAGACATTTTCTTAGTAAACCTTTTCAGTGTTCGTTTTTTGCGTGGGTTAGACAACCATGTAAACTTGTTCCTTTAACATGAAATTCATGGCATTTATATTGTGATTTTATGATAAACACTATCTTTAAAAGTTTAAAATATTGTTATTGCACGATTGAACATTAAAGAGCCTCATAATGTTCATATTGTACACATATCTATCACGTAGGAAACGATGATAATTTTTGTGATAAATTATTATCGATAATCAATCTAAAATGAAAATTTAAAATTCAATAATTTCTTTAGAAAAATGTAATTTGCACTTTTAACATGGAAGTCGTGACATTGAAATATGATTTTAAACAAAATGATGCGTTATTGTAATTACGACCTTTACAAGTAAAAATATTTAATTATTGAACAACAAAACAATCAATAAATACACTGTAAATTAATCCATATATGACTCATCTAAAACTTGTACCTATTTTGCTCGTCAAATAAATTTAAATTTAAACTCAACAACTTGGATTTTAAGTAAAATCTTGGAAATTATTTACCCCTTGACCCATTTACACAGCTAAATATATATCATAAAAATAGAAGTAGTAAATTTTTTTTTTTACTATGGGGGTAAGGTCAGAAGCACGTGTAGGCAAATTCTCTCATTTTGTCTCTTTGGCTCCATTACATACACCAAAGTATGGTTGAAGTCCATTAATGGTCACTTTCCAAAAGAACTTGTCATCAATTCTCTCCTTTTTCCCATACTTGAGAAAAAGAATGGTTAATGGATTCTGCAAGTATACTTTCAATACCCTGCTTTTCTTCTTTCTCAATGTACATGTGTGTGTAGTACATGTGAAAGCTACTTAACCAAATTATACTTGTTCAAGTTAAATTTTTGAAAGGTGTGTTCATATATATATATATTTCTTGAGTGTTATCTTCAATATGACATTAAGATTCTTTAAAGCTTAACATGTGTCATTTCCATAGATGGATAATAGCGAAACTTGAATTTAGATTTGTTGTTTTGGCTTTGATCCCGTTTTGAACTATTTTATTTTAAAGCTTAAGCACCGAGAAAGGGAAGATACATTTTTAAGTATTGTATTCAAAGGGTCTCTCATCCATGGAATGGACAACACCTATATACATCCATCATTATTTCCACAAGAGCATCGTAAGATTAGACTAATGTCTAAGTACTTATCATGTTGTCAGGACATAGGCTCTCCGATATTTCAACTCGAAAACAATACCAAACACATCCTTTTACACTTGTCTATTTGTAGGCCATCTTGTAAAGTTAAATGAGAAGTCTCGACTATATATAAGAAAATAATTTTTTCAACAACAATAATAATGTTGTAGGTGTGTGTGTGTGGAGAGAGGGAGAGAGATAAAGAGAGAGATGGGGGTGTTTTGCTATTTTTAACAATCATATTATCTATACATTGTGATTAACATTAAAGTTTACACTCTTCCACATGGCTACATCTATACCATTGATTTTGACCACAACCTCTCAAATTTCTTCCACATAGGGTGATGTCAATTAAGGTGTTAGAGGATAATGTACATCAAGCATTATTCTATTTTTAATCTACAAATACCTCCCAGCTAGAACAACTTACTTCCATTTCTTGCAACTTCCTGTTCCCAGCTATGGTATATAGCATATAGTGAATATTTCAACAAGAAGAGAGAAATACAATACAATTATCTGCTTCTCTTTCATTACCTTCTTCGATACTTTTCCTTACAGGTCAGTGACTGTTAACTATAAACATACAAAACTTTCCATCTTCTAGCATTCCCCAAATCAGGCTATAAACTAATTCAACTTCTAAACACAATAAAAAAATTTGCTTTGCTTGTTTCAGCTTAGGTTCAATGGAGTTTCCTAATCAAGGATCCGAGTCATCTTCACAACTTAAGAAAACTGGAAGAGGAAAAATTGAAATCAAGAGGATCGAAAACACGACAAATCGACAAGTCACCTTCTGTAAACGGCGAAATGGCCTACTTAAGAAGGCTTATGAATTGTCTGTGTTGTGTGATGCTGAAGTTGCTCTTATCGTCTTCTCGAGCCGTGGAAGGCTCTATGAATATGCAAATAACAGGTTAAGTTTTCATTGCTTCCTTTTCAAGATCCGTTTTACATAATTTCAAGCTTTAATTTTTCATTTTCAAGTACCCTTTTACATGATCTAGCTTAAATTGTATGGAAAGTTCAAATATTTTTCATTTCCCACCGATCTTCTTCTGCATTTTTCATGATGATTTTTTTTTTTTTACTTGGAAGCTTTTACTGATGATCACAAAAGTGTTGAGATTTCATCTCCAGTCATGGGTTTCTTAGGAAACATATACAAAGATTCACATGCCTTTCTTGCTTATTTCGTTTATGAGCTTTGTGAGTTTTTTTCTGTTTCATTCATGGGCTTCTTCTCAGATCTTGTATATACCTCTAAGATCTGCTGCAATTGATGGGCATAGAAGTGATGTAATAAACAGTAGGAGTTTAAAGATTTTGTAGGGTTAAAGAATACATGAAAGTAATGAAAAATCACCTCTACTGTGTGTCCACTGTGTGCCATACTTTCTCAAGTTCTCATTTGTCCAATCACTTCATCTCATTGACACTTCCCTAATTCATGCCAGGTTCAACAAATCAAAGAGAAAATTAACCTAAAATTTTGCAAATTAGGGTTTCAAATCCAAAGCTCAAAAGGGTATGAACAAAAACTAATTAGATTTCCATATCAGTTAGTCAAATGACAAATTACATCAATTTTACAAGAGGACCACTTTTCAATCTTCCTGTTTTTACCATTTTACCCCCCTTGGTAAAGCATGGCTACCATGGTCAGGGTTTGAAATAAGATGTGTACAAAGTTTATGTCTCTTAGCGAACGAATCTTTGGTCATGTCAGACATGATTTTTCAATTCTAAACTTATTCCATTTCTCTTTGGTCTAAAATTTTTATCTCAAAAGGTGAAAAAGTTACCCTTTCTGCATCTTCCCTCTCAAAGTCCACTTTTTGAAGCTAAAAAAAGCTTCTGGAGATATAAAAAGACAACAGAAGCATGAAGAATTACATAGCTAAAGTGGGTAACCATTTTCTTTAAACTCTTCCACCATTTCACACTTCTGAAAAGTGAATTTCGAGAGGGAAGACAGTTTTCCTATCTGTTTTTCTTCCTCAAGTTCAAGATATGGAGACAAACTTTGGTAGGGAGATTCTACCAGTACGAGTGCTAGGACCGTCTATTCAAATCATAGCACCTCAAGTTATCAGTCAGCGTCCGAGCTGTCGTGACTTGAATGGTTTGAAATTTGAAGTGTTGTGAATTGAGTGGATGGTTTTACTGAACCGTCCCACTACAAAATTTCTCCAAGATATGAGAGTAAAACTAAAGAAAATGAAACAGCCAATGGGGTTTCTTTAATTCTACTCAGCTCCTTCCATTGCATGGGAAAGAGTGCATAAAAATGGCTGCTCTGAACAAACATACAGAAGAAGAGTTCACAGACAAACACGACTAACCATATATACATACAAATTTTCATATACATGTGTGTGTGTGTGTAAAGTTTTTATTTTTATTTTTATGAGTTTAAGCATAAAAATACTCAAACATCACTGCTAGAACTGAATCCATGAAAGCAATATCGGGATTTTGAAAGAATCGAGGGGGGTAATAGGGTGATTTAGTGGGGGTATTACACTTGGTACAAAAGAGTGTTTGGACACGTGGCAAGATCAGAGAACAAAGATGCTTGAGCCAATCATATCGTGGGATCTTGTGCCAGCATGGCAGAGGACAACCAATCAGTAGCTCGAGAAAATTAAGGTTATCCAGTCTGAAAGTGCCTGTATGTGTTTTCACTGTGACGTTCTGTGGTATTGAATGCTGATGTATAATATGTAACGTGCATGCTTAAAAGTTAAAAGTAAATTTTTACTTTTTTGACCGGTAAAAGAAAATAAATGAATCACACAGTGAATTGATGAGTGAACGTACAAGAAATAGAAGAAGAATTAGTAGAAGAAATTATTGACATTAAATTATGTTAATCAAACTTTATGACCGACCGATCAGCACGATCTATGAAGAAGTGTTGGCCATCCGGATATACGTAGATAGTGTGTCCCCTGTTGATTTGGTGGCTCTCTTTTTTTTCCTCGGTATATCGAGGCTAGTCGTCGAATCACTACATTTCTGTGTGTCAATTTGAGAGTTTGTTTGAGCCCTCATTTTTGGAGTAGAATGTATTTTGAAATAATAGATTGATGGAGAATGTGCAGTTAAAAAATAAAGAAAATTTTTGAGTTTGCGTGTAATATTATTTTTATTGAATAATGCGTGTTTAAAAATAAAGAGATAAAAGCATATTTTGAAAAAAATAGGGATCAAACAAGGGCTTCCAGTCAAATGAAGGAATTGGACAACATGAAATTCATAATTTCGTCTTAGGAATGAAACTTCTAATTAAAAGAATACTCAGTAGAGTGTTGCACTTGTTATTTGAATTATAAAACGCGTTTTCTTGACATTCTGTAACACGATATAGTCATTCCTTTTCAAGTGACGTGATATATGTTACATTTACGTCTATGGTCTAGGCTATATTTGATGTTCTTATGCAACCCAAACCTTGTTTAGACAGATCTCTTAGAGAAGCTGTTTTGAAGTCCTTTTTAAGTTTTTTTCAATTTTCCACGTACGGCGAACTAAATGAAGCCCTAATATATCATAGTTAAACGATAAATAATGTACTATTAGTAACCCTTCCTTGTGACAAGTACAAGAAAGTTTTAAGTGAATTTTCACTATCTTTTTATTAGTAATTAATACACAAAATTTAATATAATGTGACGTATTTCTTTATATTTGACATGTTAAGCCACATTTTTGGACATGGAGATTGATATGATCTTATGTAAATGCAGTGTTCGGGCAACTATTGACAGATACAAGAAAGATTGTGTCAATTCCTCGAATTTAGGATCTGTTTCTGTGACTAACACACAGGTAATCTAAACTGTTGAGTATGATTAGTATATACTGTTCATACCCTAGTATTATATTGATGAAATAATTTTGGAAGGGACACAACCACCTTACTTCCACCGAGGAATTTCACTCTACGACTTCGATTTTAGTGAACCATTTGATCGAACTTATGTTGTTACAATTACGTTATAATTTCTTATGTAATTTAATTTCTCAGTTCTATGAGCAAGAAGCCACCAAGCTGCGAAAACAAATTCGAGATATACAGAATACAAACAGGTTAAATATAGTTAATAATTAAATGCTATTACTTAATTTGTTGCAAATATTATTAACATTGCATCATGTGCAGACAAATTCTTGGCGAGGGTGTTGGCACTTTGAAGTACAAGGAACTCAAGAACTTAGAGATGAAAGTGGAGAAGGCCATTGGAAGAATTCGTTTGAAAAAGGTGATTAAGTTTTTTCTAATTTTTGGTTCGTAATTTCTTGTTAAATTTGGTGAGATCATTGTTGATTTTGTGAGACTAACGCTTGAGAAATTTTCCAGAATGAACTACTGTTTGCTGAAATTGAGTTCATGCAGAAGAGGGTAAGTATACTTTCTTTTATAGTTTTGAAAAAAGTAAAAACTTGCAAAATCTTATTAAAGTACATTTTAGAAAACAAAAGCCGTCGTCTTGTTCCTGATAAATTTGCTTATTTTCTGAAATGTTCTCAATAAACACGATCATATTGCATATTTTTCTTACATTGATCCACAATAGAATCTACTTTATTCAATGTATTAATTAATTTGTTGCAAGAATTAATATTTGAAGCTAAAATCTGGTTTCAAACTTTCAATGGTGACTTGATGTGCCAGGAGTTAGAGCTGCATAACGCCAACATGTATCTACGAGCAAAGGTACTAAGATATACCTCTTTCTCTCCGAGACCTCACAAGAAACCAAAAAAAAAAGAAAAGAAAAAGGACTTAAGAAAGGCTGATATATGCCGCAGTTTAGCAATTTATGTAATCAGATCGTTAAATTTTGATGAAATGGTGCAGATAGCTGAGACCGAGAGAGCACAACAGCAAATGGACATGATGCCATCATCCGAATACCAGCCTATGACTTCACAACCTTACGACATTCGGAATTTTCTCCCGGTAAACCTCATGGAGCGTAATCCTGACTACTCTCGTTAGGACCGTGAGAACAGCCATTCTAACAAAGGTACCGTACCGTGATACAAATGCAGGCTGCAACAAGCAAAGGCTAATATTCTTTCATTTGATTGGAGTTTAGGCCTTCAAAGTTTTGTATTTTTTTTCCGTATACGGTATATTCCACCAAAAACTAACCATATTTATTATGCAATGCTATTCTTGCAGCTAATATGTGGAGAGCTCTTGAAGCAAGCCTTCAAAACTAGTTGGCTTCGTTCTTGTTTATTGTAACATGAAATTCAGAAGATGATCTCTAGTTATCTGAATTTTATCTCCTTTCTGGTGTTAAGAATTTTCAGTGTAAGAACTATTTTAAATTTGTGACGAATCTTGTTTCGAAAATGCACATTAATTCAACCCTACTTTTGTTCTTGGACTTGACCTATACCTTACACGGTTACTTGTCCCAAACCTGAATAAGGCGGTTTCGATTCATGGCATCCAGACCTTCACCTACATTTGTATCGTATAAGAGGATGTCTTTGGGCAACCTAGCTCACGGTACGTGTGTCGCACTAGACATGACTTTTTACAACAGTGTGATATGTTTTAACCTCTTTCGCTTCGTGATGTTCAATAATGTCTGTTTTAACATACAAAACATGCCAATTATCGTCTCTTGGTTGTTAGGTTCGGCCTACCTTCTTGTGTGCCCATTGATTGACTGATTAAATCCCGTAGAACCCTACGAGTGTTAATTATAAAGTCAATAAGCATTTAATTATGCGTGAGTTTTTGGAGTATAAAGAATTATATATTCCAATGCAATGCTGATTTTTTCATTGGGTAAAAAGTACTACGATTTTGCTATATGTACATCATAATGTACATCGGGGTGTACACCCCCCTCACATGTAGGGGTGAACACGGTTTGGTTTGGACGATTTGTGTTATATTTTCAACTCAAACCATTTCATCATGCGGTTTGGAATTTTTTCAAACCAAACCAAACCATTTTATTTTTCAAACCAAACCAAACCAAACCAAACCCTTATTTGCGGTTTGGTTTGGTTCGGTTTTCAATTCACGGTTTACCTATCGACATTATAGATATATGTTTAAAACAAGTTATCATATACATTTAAATAAGAACTGATAATGTTAAATGTTAAATTACATTCCTATTTTTTTAAAATTCGATATATAAACAAAAAGACAAAAAAATAGTATCAAGTTAGCATCTATCAAAAAGCACCAAATTTTACAAGCAATAATATCAAAATAAGTAAAAGAGTACTAACCTCTCATTTGATAAAAATTGGATCAATATCCCTTGTTGTAACACATGATTCAGCCTCTGTATGATATACAAATATCAAAATATTTATTAGTCCTTATTAATAATATTAACAAGCAACTGAAAAACAATATGCATAAAATATCAAACTTGATAATAGAAAATAAATGTCACATTCCACAGCTTTCTCAGAGTCATCCAATACTTTTGCCTCATCCAAATTTTGACGAAGCACTCACTACAACAAAAATGGGCTTTTGCAACATTTAAACGGCAACATTCATTGAACAAATGTTGCTAAAAGGGTCAATTGCAACGTTCGTGTGAGTGAATGTTGCGAAAAGTGAGATTTTGCAACATTTTTCAAATGAACGTTGCAAAAAGTGACTTTTCGCAACATTCGCTGACTGTTGCGAAAAGTGCCACTTTTCGCAACGTTCATTAAATGTTGCGAAAAGTCCAACTTTTTGCAACGTTTGAAAAATGTTGCTAAAGGTCACATTTGGCAACGTTCACCAAACGTTGCGAAAAGGTCACTTTTAGCAACGTTCAACGAACGTTGCTAAAGGTCTACCCTTTTGCAACGTCTTTGAATGTTGCAAAAAGTCTCAACAACTGACCCACCTTAAAATCAAATCAGTTCAAGATATTAGCCCTAACTTTTTCTTCACCTCTCGTCTCCGCTCTCCTGAGCCTCTCACTCTCTCTAACTCTCATTTTCACGGTGCAATCGCCATAGAACCGCCGCGTCCTCCACCGATTCGCGTCCTCACAACCACCGCTAGGTCCGCCCTGTTCAGCCCTCACGTCTAGGGAGCCAGGGACCACTGCGCGTCTGCTATCTGAATCACCTCTCACTCGCCTCTCTGCGACGCATGACTCCGCTTGGCTCACCGTCACAGCTAGTCCTCCACCGCCAAACCGTCAGTCCTCACCACCGCCAGTTGGCCCGCCCCGTTGCACCCGCGATGTCAACCTGACTGCATGGGCCTAGCCAAAGGTAAAACCCTAACCTTATTGAATTAATTGAATAATTTGGATCCTGATTTCTTCAATTTCTACACTCGTTGGTTGTATATTCAGTTAATTATTTTGGTTAGATTTCTTTCTAAATTTGTTAATTTTTCCACATTTGTTGGTTTTTTCATTACTAAGAGAGCACACAGAGCATACAAAGAGACTTCATTACTTAATCACTCACAGAGCACACAGAAATGTTGTCTAATACAGAAACTCAAATTAATTACTCATTGCGTTTCAGGTTAGTTTTTTGAATATTACCGGCTTCCGAGACTTCCCTCTAGGAGATTTGCCAATGTTGAAGGTTTGTTTTTTCAATAGATGTATTCTCGTGTGCTGCTCGTTACTTTCCCTTTATGGTCATTCAGATTCATAAATCCCATGATAAAATAAATCATATCTGTTTTGGCATCCCATGTTTGTTCTAGTTTACATTTTCTCTTTGTTCCGTTTCTTGCTTTAGCACTTGTAGAAAAATATAGTATTGCAATCAAATTATTATAATTTTGGGAATAATCATTATTGGTTGGTTTCACTTGAATTTTTAACTATGTACATGGATTTTGCCCCCTTGAAACCAATCATTAGAACTTCTGCTTGTAAAAACGCATTAAATACAGCCTATATTTGTGTCCCTTTGTAGGCACTGAGGTATACATCTGAGAATGTTTTTGTACCATTGACTGTTGGAGGAGGTATTCGAGATTTTACTGATGGAACTGGCAGGTATAGAGCTGTCCATTATTCATGATCTTGATTTTCATCTTGTCTTAAACGGTTGTGTTTCCTTAACTTTCTTTCCATTGTGAGTGAAGAAAACTTGAATTCATAGATTAAATAAAATTTGTCACTGAAATGTTTGATATTCTCTTATTGGATATTGTTGACGTAAACTCAAATAACAATCAGACAACAGATGGGTCACTTCTGTTGCAGAATTCTAGTTATGACATTCGTAATAGTGATCTTAACATGGGTTCTGGGTTCGCTGACGAGAAAGATGATGACTGCCAGGTAGTGGAGCGTCCGAATACATTTAAATCCGATGGATCTTCAAATGGGCAGATGCCCTTTGCCAGTAGTTCCTCTGATCCTTTTGGGGTTTCCTCTGGTAGTGGTAAATATTTGATGGAGGAAAGCGATGGCAGGCCAGGTTGTTCTTTGGATGGTCGACGCTTATCATGCAAAAGAAAAGCCTTTGAAGGAAATGTGGGACAGTCTTCAGGAACTGGAAGTTCAACGTATTTTCAGCATGCTGAAAGAAGTCTATGGCATGCTGTGCCGGCTACACAAGCTGCCATGAGCAGCATAAGTATGTCAGCACCAATTGATGATATTATTGCCATTGATGTGTCGGATCAGGATTTTCTAATGGAGAGAGAGATTGAGAGAGATCAAGAATTGTCCACAAACCCAAGACTGGGGCTTCATGTTGGAGGATCTGCTTCTACAAGTCCTCTGACTCTGAATGCTTCTGGGACTGCCGAAAGTTCCAAACAAAATTTCTGCTTGCAGATAAATGACTCAAACCAACAAGATTCTATACCTGGTAATCTGTTTTCAACGGAGGCTAATGTTGGGAACACAAGTTTTCCATCTTCCCAACATTCATAAAGAATACGTCTTCGTAATCATTTCTTTAAGCCAAGGCCAGTATCTACAGAAGAAAATGAAGGTTTTCAGGTATCATCTGGTTTGCACATTCCTTCTCTTCGTCGGAGTCGACAGTCTAGATGGAACGAAACATCTAGCTCAAGAGCCAGTAGTTCTTTTTATTTCATTTTGAAACTTCTTTTTATTTAGGTGGTGTTGTATCACATTGTAACGTTAAAGTGTGTGGATTCAAAAATTTATAATGAAATTATCAATTTTTATGCAATTTCAAAATTTTTTTACAAATATTCATTTTCAATTTTACTATTCAATTTACATAAATTGTTCTATAAAAAAAAAGGCAGCGTTTTTTAAACGTTGCGAAAGACCTCTTTCGCAACGTTTTTTAAACGTTGCCGTATCTCTTCCCTCTTTGGCAACACTAAACTTTGCAACACATGCTGAAACGTTGCTAAAGGCCTTTTGCAGCGTTTTTTGACCGTTGCAAAATGCCTTTTTTGGCGTAGTGACTATAGGTTCATTGCTGCTATGCAACCAGTTCTTCGTGCATATTAAGACCTCAACCATTTTTCCACTCAATGAACTCCTAAAGGAGTCAAGAATCCTACCACTCATGGAAAATGCAAACTCTGAAGCGACCGTAGATATTTGAATTGCTAATACATCTTGGGCAATTTTAGAGACAATTTTGTATTTGTGCGCATTCAATTTCCACCAAACTAATACGTTAAACTTGGGATCGGTCAAATTTTCACAACGATCAGACAAATAATCAACTAAATCATTCTTCTTAGATTGCATGTTTTGCATAAGTTTGGCTTTGAAAATAGAAGGAATCTGTTTAGAAAGATCGAAAGCAGATTGTGAAGGACTTGGACTACTATTTTTGGTAGCCTCATTTTAACGAATCTAATGGTGAAGTGATTGGAGTCGCCATTTTTTCATAGCATGCATACAATTTGTGGAGTGTCTCTTCAACTCTTTTTAACAGCATTTTTGCAATTTCTACATCATAAATAAGTTCAAACCCGACTTTAAGAAGTTCCAACTTGCATCTTGGGTCAAGAACTATTGCAATGAATAACAACTGATTAAACTTTTCAACATGGCCCCAATACTTATCATATTTTTTCCGCATACTAATTGCCATGGTTCCCATCAAAGTGTTAGACTCTTTAGCTAATTCATTCAACTCTACATGACATATTTCTTGAAAGAAAGAGTTAGAAGTCACATACTTCGAGCCACAAAATTTTAAAGTCATTTCATAGAAAATCTTCAAGAACCTAACAAATACTTCTGCTCGATCCCAATCGACATGTTGAGGGATGAGATTTGAGAGAGAAGCTATGGTTTGGATGGATAAGTATTCTGAATTCAAAAGCCCAATAATCCAAAAAGACAAAAAATTAAAATGATTTGGGTTGGGCCCAAGTTCAGTGCAGCCATATTTGATATTACTAAAAAAAAAAAAACTGGTTTGAGAATTTATAATTTAGTAAATATACTTTTTTAATTAAAAAAAGTGCGGTTATATTTTGTTTTTCGCGATTTTTAAAATTTGAAACCTAAACCAAATCATTTTGAAACGATTTGGTTCGGTTTGAGGAAAAAAAATCGCGGTGGACCCAAACCAACGACTTTGATCCAGTTTGCAGTTTCGCGATTTTTTTGTACAGCCCTACTCACATGAGGGTGAGACCCACTTTAATAAAAAAAATATTTTACGCAAGTGGGTCCCACCCCCATGTGAGGGAGGTGTACATCCCGATGTACATCTTGTGATGTACAAGTAACAATTTTCAAAGTACTAATGGTCACTTCGAATTTCAATAAAATTGCATTTTGTCACACAAATTCTTTTATTCCATTTTTAATTTCTCAAGTTTCGCTAGAATTCAAGTAACGTCACTGCATTTACATTCGGTCCAAAATCTATTTATTTTGTTGTGGTTTGACTCAAATTCTAGTGGGAGTCTAAATTGGAGTGATCTTAAAGAGACCAAAATTATGGACCGGTGGAAAAAGTTGCCGCATTTTCACTAGTCTAGCGCTAGCTGACCACTCATGTGTGTGTGTGTGTGTGTGTCACGACTTGTAATGTATACATTAAGAGAAAGAAACATTCATACAACATTCAAGAGAGTTTAGATTTCAATTGAGAACATTGAAATTTTGATATTATAAATACAAAACTATAGATTACATTGGATTGTTCTCCTCTGTCTATTGTTTTTTCATGAATTGAGTTTCTACATAAATTCTTATATTCTTTTTCATTATTTTATTAATGTTATTATCTTGTGATCCATTTCATAACAAATGGTATCAAAGAGCGATGTTGATTGTTCCGCATGGCGACAATGAAGTATAACATTTCGTTATTGGATAGAAACACGAAATTTACATTATGACTAGTGAAGATGTGAGCGGTATTGACGCAGATGGATTTGGAGGAAGTCTTACTTGGCTTTGATATGATGTCTGCTACCTGAGCTCATGATGAAAAGCGACGTAGGGATCGAAAAGGTCAATCTCAAATTCATCTATATCTCTCGAATATTAGAGCTGATTGCTATGCTTTGAAAAATAGAAATAAAGTTGTTGGTGCTACTGAGAAAGGGAAGCAACGCTTTTAATACAACAGAAGCTGATTTTGTGGAAAATGGGCAAAGTGAAAGGGAGTTTCTTATGATTTCTGACATGGATGACAAACCTTGTGAGGAATAGGTTCTTGACTCGGCTTGTACTTTTCATATGTGTCCCAATATGACTATTTTTCAACATATAAAGGAGTTTCGAAAGGTGCAGTGATTATGGGAAACAACGCACCCTGTAAAATTGTCGAAGTTAGTACGGTTAGAATTAGAATGTTCGATGAGGCTATTTCGGACACTTACAGATATAAGACATGTTCCAGAACTGAAGCGTAATCTCATATATTTGAGTACACTTGACTCAAAGGGTTATAGAAACATTGATGAAGGTGAAGTTTTGAAGGTGTGCCAATGTACTCTTGTTGTCATGAAGTGACATAAAAACTCTATACAATTGTACATATTGCATGGTTCCACAGTAGCAGGGGATGTAGCAGTTTCAACTTCTTATTTGACAGCTGATGAAGTTCCAAAACTTTGACATATGCAGTTCAGGCATATGGGTGGGAATGATATGGTAGAACTAAATAGAAGGGGACTTCTTGATGGATAGAAGATCAGCAAAATAAATATCTGTGAGCATTGTGTTTTTGGAAAAACAGAAGATAGTCAAATTCATAAAAGGTATGTGTTGTTTCTACTGTATGCATTTGATTTTAAGCTCATGAGACTGTTTGTTGGCATTTGCAAGTTCTGGTGAATGACACAGAGATAAAATATGTTCTATAATAAAATCTTTTGGAGAAGAGTGAGAGAACGTCCATGAAATTGGGTCTCTCCATTATCGTCCTTGCCCGCGCGCAAAGGAAAGATTGTCTTAAGCTTTTTGAACTTGCTGTGTAAACTAAATTGCGTTCGCTATATCTTTCACCTTAACTCTTTTTGTATTATTATTGTTCCATGCTTCTTTTTGTGCACTTTTTCCTGTGTGTTTCTTAACAATTTAATCTTTAACTTTCATTTTGTGGCACAAATAGTTATGATTACGATTTTCATCCAACTCTGCAACCCCGCTACCTTCCATGCTCAGTTATCTATAATATATTAAATAGCACATCAAGTGAGAATTATTTTTTGGACAATTATAACCCTAATACAATTCAATTATTTCAAAAATATTTTATTTTTTGTTTTTCAATATATATTTAATTTACAAACTATAATTAATATTATAATTAATTCTCAATTAATTAGCATTCACATTCACTAATTAATATTATGCCCTGTTATTAATTCTCAATCAATTAATATTAATATTAACATTAACATTCATTTAATTTTGTTTCCCATAAAAATACAATTTTGCACCGTTGCAACAATTCATCATCCGTAATTTTGGACAATTTTGTCTCTGTGTGGGACTTAGGGATGACAACGGTTCGGTTCGTGGTCTATTCTGTCAAAACCATAATCACACCACCAAATTTTTGACAATAACATAACCATGCCCATAACCACGTAAGTCGGTTCGACTCGTATCTCGGTTCGGTTCGGTTAATAACCATGAAAATAAATTATTTTTTATAAATCCAAACTCCAACCATTAACTTGAAAAAAAAATTATGAAGAAAAATCAATAAAAACAAAAACACAATACTAAGTCAATTTAGCAAATAATATCTCAAATGAAAATGCAAACAATATCCAAACTTCCAAATGCAAAATGAATTTAACAAACAATATTATCAATATAGGTCAAGACTCTTACTAGTATAAGTCAATCTTCATTCTTCCCCACAACTCTTACTAGCATAAGTCAAGACTCAAAGTTGATTCATATATAGTAAATAAGAAATGTAATTAGAATAATAATACAACCATACTACCTAATCAAGAATGGTCTTAACAGAAGATTTAAAGAAAAAAAGTACCTCTTCGTCAATGTCCTCATGACTAAACATTGCACAAGCTCTGAAGTATGATGAAGGAGCAAAATTTTCTACACACAATAGAGAAAAATTATCAATAAAAGAAAGTGCATGAATAACAAATATTAGTAATAAAAGAAAGTGTATTTGTAGAATATCAAAATTCTTTATTCTGACCCACTAAAAAGGGATAAAGAAACCATCCCTTGTACCTACCAAATAGAGAAATGCAAATGATAATAACTATAAAAATAAAAATTGATTGACAGATATATGCAAAACGAAACCAGAAATTAAAAAAAAAATAATTCTTTCCTACTGGATTGGTAAATTACCAAACTCTCGCAAACAATATAACCTAAAATATATGTTGAATTCTGGAATTTCATTAATAATATCAGTAAAAAACCACATTAATTCTATAACCAAATTAAATATTCGACTCTCTATTTTTTATGAACATAGAGAAACTGAA